AGTAAAGCAGCTTTAGGACAGCTAATCTGAGTAATTTCAGCAGGCTCTGTGGTATAGGGGGGGTTCCTAGTCATGCAGTACCTGGCCCTGGAGTGATTCAGGGCAGGTAAATAGTGTTCTGGATCGCAGGAGCCTGATAAAAGGAAGCAGGTAGTGGCATGGACTCAGGATTGGTTGGCTTGAATATCAAAGGTGAGCTCACAGGCAAGACATTTACTGTCTCTAGGAATCAGCTGACCCTGGAAGGTTGAGCATCCCAAGTCCACAAGGCCCCAAGATGTCAAAGCATTGTAAAATACAGAAATTTTTAAAACAGCAACAACATGATTAATAGAAGCCTGTCTGAAACACTGCTATAAGAAACCTGAAAACAGAGCTTTTCAAACTTGACTGTCCACAGGGATCACCCAGGTATTTTGTTAAACTGCAGATTCTGACTCATTAAATTAGGTAAAGGTTGAGACTTTGCATTTCTCATAAACTTCTTGGTGATGTTGGGACCACATTTTGAGTAGTTAGAAGGGAAAATATCACTAAAGGTCTTCTCTCTGGCTCATCTTCTGTCAGGAAAGGGGAAGGATCTTACATACCGAGTCCTACCTTGAACCAGACGCTGCAAGGCATTGAACATATAGATTTGGTCTTGTTTTGCTTTAAGGGCAGCCTTTGCTAGTGGGAAAATTATCCCAATTTTATAGGTAAGGGAACGCAGGCTGGTTAAGTAACCTGCTCTAGGTCATTTAGTTAAAAGGCAGAAGATATAAATGTTATCTGGCCTAAAAATCCAACTTTCCCCCACCACAATGTAAGTACACATGGCACTGCTCTGATGGAAAATAAAAAGTCTGTTAGTAAAGGCTTCATAAAATATAAAGCCCATGAACTTGAATAGTGGCCCATTTATAACTTGACTTCTGGAAAGAAGAGAAATTCAGAATGCTATTGATTATCCCACAATTAGAAGTAAATGGTGTTTATTAATAAGTTATTATTTTATCACAGCCTTCACAAAACACTTTAAATGGGATTCCCTATAAAACCAGTGTTTTTATTTTAAAAAGATACATACATGTACATGGTAATATATATACAAGAAAAAGTGAGTCTTGCTCCTAGTCTCCTACTTCTACTGCTCACAGACAACTACTGTGAAGTTTGTATAGCCTTCCAGAACTGTTTCTATGCAAATCATAAACGTTTCTCATATAAATTCATTCATTTGGTTATTCTAGGCACTTGGGGAAAAGCAGTAAATAAAACAGACAAAATCCCTTGTGTACATTATATGCCAATATGAAGATAATATCACAAACAAATAAGTTATCGATTATGTCAGATGGGGATAAATGCTAATGGAGAAAAAGGGGAGACGGGACAAAATGTTTTCAAGTACGAATTCAGTAGTTAAGGAAGGCCTCACTGGAAAGGTGACAGTTGAGTAGAGACCTGAAGGAGGTAATCCTATTCCACACTTACTTTTTCCTTTAACAGTATGTATTAAATGCTTCACCACAGCAGGGCTTACAGATTTCTTTCTTTCTTTTCTCTTTTCTCTTTTTTCTTTCTTTCTTTCTTTCTTTCTTTCTTTCTTTCTTTCTTTCTTTCTTTCTTTCTTTCTTTCTCTCTCTCTCTCTCTCTCTCTCTCTCTCTCACTTTCTTTCTCTCTCTCTCCTCAGGGCTTACAGATTTTCTTCTTTCTTTTCTTCTTTCTTCTTTCTTTCTTCTCTTTCTCTTCTTTCTTCTCTCTCTCTCTCTCTTCTTTCTTTTTTAAAATTATACTTTAAGTTCTGGGATACATGTGCAGAAGTGCAGGTTTGTTACATAGGTATACATGTGCCATGGTGGTTTGCTGCACCCATCAATCCGTCATCTACATTAGGTATTTCTCCTAATGCTCTCCCTCCCCTTGCCCCCCAACCCCCAACAGGCCCCAGTGTGTGATGTTCCCCTCCCTGTGTCCATGTGTTCTAACTGTTGAGCTCCCACTTATGAGTGAGAACATGCAGTGTTTGGTTTTCTGTTCTTGTGTTAGTTCACTGAGGATGATAGTTTCTGGCTTCATCCATGTCCCTGCAAAGAACATGAACTCATCTTTTTTTATGGCTGCATAGTATTCCATGGTGCATATGTGCTACATTTTCTCTATCCAGTCTATCATTGTATCTATCTATTTATTTTGAGATGGAGTCTCTCTCTGTCACCCAGGATGGAGTGCAGTGGCATGATCTCGGCTCACTGCAACCTCTGTCTCCTGGGTTCAAGCCCTTTTCCTGCCTCAGCCTCCCGGGTAGCTGAGATTAGAGGTGCCCGCCACCACGCCTGGCTAATTTTTGTATTTTTAGTAGAGATTGGGTTTCCCTATGTTGACCAGGTTGGTCTCAAACTGCTGACCTCAAGTGATCCACCCACCTCATCCTCCCAAAGCGTTGGGATTACAGGCATGAGCCACCGCCCCAGCCTACCTTATTCTTTTTTTTTTTTTTTTTTTTTTTTGAGATGGAGTCTGGCTCTGTCACCCAGGCTGGGGTGCAGTGGCCAGATCTCAGCTCACTGCAAGCTCCGCCTCCCGGGTTTACGCCATTCTCCTGCCTCAGCCTCCCGAGTAGCTGGGACTACAGGCACCCGCCACCTCGCCCGGCTAGTTTTTTGTATTTTTTTAGTAGAGATGGGGTTTCACCGTGTTAGCCACGATGGTCTCGATCTCCTGACCTCGTGATCCGCCCACCTCGGCCTCCCAAAGTGCTGGGATTACAGGCTTGAGCCACCGCGCCCGGCCCCCTACCTTATTCTTTTTAAAGTCTCCATTGCACTCCATTGTTTGCATGTGTCATAATATTGCTGGGCTTTTGTTATTTCCATAGGCGGATGTTTTAGATTAATCCTGTTATAGTCTGTTAGATGATCATTTGAATGGTTATAAAAGAGACTTGGGGCTTGTGGTATAAAGCCTGATTAAATAGAAGGAAACCTAAACTAAGCATGGGAAGCTATGAATGAACGTCCCAGCTGTGCTACGCTTGCTATTATCATTGAGGATTTGTGGACTTCCTTTTTTACTTTCCTGTTCTGGCCTCATGACAGGGTTTCCATTTTCCTGCCATATCTTAGGCTGTGCTGTTGTCCACCAGGCCCAGGGTCAGATGTAGGTGATTTTTCAGTTGGAGACCTAAGTGACATCCTTCCCACAGCAACATCAGTGCCAAGCTACCTGTCACCTTGCAGAGTCCAATAGTGACATCCTTCCCACAGCAACATCAATGCCAAGCTACCTGTCACCTTGCAGAGTCCAATAAAAACTTACAACCTTTCCACATTCCCCACGAAGGAAGTATAAGCAAACTTTTAGGGTGCAGTTTACCCTCTGGGTTCTGTGCATGCTCTCCATGCTTAGAAGGAAAGCACATGAGCTTCCTTAAAACAAAACCAAAAAGCCATACATCCTAGTGATGTTTACTTTTGCAGATAGAGATGTGTAGCACTGGGCCATATGACAGAGTGGATTTCACCTTTAATGGAAGATTAATTTATCCAATTGATTAATATCTGAGGCGATCCCTGGAATATGCCAGCACTCTGCCTCGCACTATAGGAGGAACAAATACCAGTGCAATATGGTTCTTGTCCTCTGGTGTTAAAGGCAATACAGCAGAAATGAAAAGAAAGGGGAGAATACTATTATCCGGGGTCCCTCAAAGATCCCTCAGAGAGCTTTTAGAGCTAACATGTAAACAGGTAGGGAAGTGTGCAAGGGATGAAGGTGCTACAAGGGGACCTTGGTAAAGGATAAGTGTATGTGAGTGTGTGTGTGTTAGGAATATGTGTGAATGGAAGGTGAACAATAGTTGCACTACAAGCAAAGGCCCAGATAAAGGAAAATATAGGTGTTATATAGGAAACATGAAGTAGCCCTGTTTAGCTTAAAGAATGTGGGGAGTAGGTGTAGATGACAGGAAATGTTGACTGGGGTAAGACTGGCAGAGGGTCCTGAGTCCTACTTTGCTATTAGATATGAGATAGATAAACGAGATATCTAAAAATAGATAAATTTTTAAAAGATTAAAAAATTACCATCAGCTTCTTCCTCTTTTGTTTTTGCTTTATTTGGTGGGGGTAGGGGAGCATTGTGCATGTTGGTTTTATAATTTCTACTTCTTTTTCCAGTAATTTTTAAAAATCAGCTTAGCATTTGTTAAAGTAATATATGCCCATAGTTTAAAAAGGTGAATAGTAATACAAGGTCTATAATCAAAAAAGAATACTCCCTTCCCCCACTTTGCCTACCACTCCCCCTTCCTACTTCTCAAGGGAAGCTTTTTTTGTTTGTTTTTTTGCTTTTATTATGAAAGATGTTTATTTTCCAGATTACATAGGTAAGACTTTCGCTGCAACCAATTGTTTTTGGTTTGGTTAATCTATAGTCTTGTCCAGCACAGGAAAACTAGCACTGTCCAGCAACTGTAACTAGGAGGTTGAATTTCACCATGGGAGAGGAAACCACTTTTAACTATGCTATCCCTATACTTAAGTACTGTGTGTATACTAATATTTATTAAGTTATCATTTTTAGAGATTACCTGTCTTACTACTACGCAGAATGAGGAAAATTTAGCACTCTGATACTATCACATGCTCCCAAGTTTTCTTCCCTAATCTTTCCAGTGGGTTAAATAGCAACTTGGGGTTAAACTGATATTCTAGTTTACCTTACTATGACCATATAATATTGTTTACTACTGAGACAAGTAGTAAAAGAGTATGTGTTCGATGTTGTTCAACATCTTATTTTTCCTGGTGTTGTCTTTTCTTTTGCTTACCTCTTTTGTGTATCTATCATTAACTGTTCATGAACTATCCAAAATAACTACAGAACTTATATTGAAACCATTTTTTTTTTTTTTTACACAATTAGCCCACTGGTTAGGCTACTGGATCTCTTTTTCCCTGGAGGAGCCTCCCGTCCAGCCCCTCTGGTCTAGGGGTTTTCCAGGCCAGCTGCCCACCTGTTGTCCTGGGACTTCTTTTTAACACCATCTTGCGAAATCCCTGTGCCTCTCTCCTGTGTTGGAGCCCCCGTTTCCTGGATCCCATGGTTTCCTCTTTGTTGGTTTACATCCTCATTTTTGTAGAGCACATTCTCTAGTAGCTTCCTGAGAAAAGGTACATGGGAGGTGAATTTGTTGAGACCTTGTGTGTCTGAAAATGTCTTAATGCTACTCTCATACTTGTTTGTGAGTTAAACTTGTAATTGAATTTTAAGTAAAGTGTAATTTTCCCTCAAAATTTTTAGGCTGTACTTCATTGTCTTCTAGCTTCCAGTCTTGCAGTCTCAGGCCACTACTATTCTTTTTACCAAGTATGATCTTTTACATGTGACCTGTGTTACTCCTCTGGAATGTTTTGGAATCTTCTCTTTAATCCTGGTATTCTGAAGTCTCAGAGTAAAGAACCCTAATGAGCTAATGAGAATCTTTTCTTACCCATCATTTTGGGCACTTTATAGTGTCTCAAAATCTGGAAAACAGCATTGTTCCATTTTGACAATTCTTCTTCTATTATTCCTTAGTACTTGTCTCTGAACCATTTTTTTCTTGTTTTCTCCTTCTGGCATGCCTATGGTAAAATGTGGAACCTCGTGGATTAATCCACTACATTTCTCACCTCACCCCATCTCCATCTAATATGGTTTGGCTGTGTTCCCATCCAAATCTCATCTTAAATTGTAGCTCCCATAATTTCCATGTGTTGTGGGAGGGACCCAGTGGGAGATACTTGAGTCATGGGGGGTGGTTTCCCCCATACTGTTCTCATGGGAGTGAATAAGTCTCATGAGATCTGACAGTTTTATAAGGGGAAATCCCTTTTGCTTGCTTCTCATTCTCTCTTTGCCTGCCACCATGTAAGATGTGACTTTGTTCTTTCCTTGCTTTCTGCCATGATTATGAGGCCTCCCCAGCCATGTGAAACTGTAAGTCCATTAAACCTCTTTTTTAAATAAATTATTCAATCTTGGGTGTGTCTTTATCAGCAGTGTGAAAACGTTTGGACTATCTACTTTCTAGAAAGTTTCACTTCTATACCTCTGAATCATTTCATATTCTTCTACACGTTTAATTTCCAATACCTCCTTCTTATTTTCTAATTGTTCCTGTTCTACAGAATACTTTTTATTTTATATATACAACAGTGTCTCTCATCTTTCTGAAGTTACTATAGGTTTTTAAAAGCTTTTCATTTGCTTCCTGAAATATCTGTATCTTCTCTGAGCCCCTTTAGCCCCTTTCTCTGTTTTTATCTCTATATTTTATTCTATATTTTATGTCAGTGGATAGCCTCAGATATCGGGTGGCCCTTCATTACTCATTTATATTTAAGAAATATATATATTTATTTCATATATATATATTATATATGAAACAAATAATTCATTTATATTTAAAAACGGTGGGTCCAGTTTCCAAGGGAAACCCTGAGTGTAGACAGGGTGTGCTTTTTCCTTGACTGGCATCCCTCTGAGGTAACAGAGTGGGGAATCTTACCATTTCAACAGGGACTCTGCCAATCAGTCATTTTCTGGACTGAATTTCTGCAGATAAGAATCTCCAAACCCTTGCCTAAGGAGCCAGTCCCTAGCTGTAGGTTCCCTGGGAGCTATGTCAGGGAATAGTCCAGGAGGGTTTCACCTGTTCGTTTGGTGGAGCTTCATCTTCTCTCCTGGGCCTAATCCCTGAGTCCAGAGTATCTCTGATTCAATGTAGCCTAAGACTATCCCTGATGCTTCACACAGGGATGGGGAATTGGTAGTGGCAGTGTGAGCTAGGGAGGGCAGGGCCTAACTACTCCATATACTATGCTGCTCTGAAGCTCCTGGCAATCGATTCTCCTTTTTCCAGTCTCAAGACTCCAAAGCCTCCGCAGCAACCCGTGCATGAATGTGAAGACTTCGCTCAATGCACCTCAGCTATTCCTCCTCCATCACTGCCGTCTTCCACAAATTGCCTGACATCTCACGTTCAGTAGCCTCTCCTCTGTTTGTTCTGTCTCATTTGCTTTGTGTCCCTGCTTTATGGGTTTTTGTTGTTGTTGTTTTTTGGAGACGGAGTCTCCCTCTGTCACCCAGGCTGGAGTGTAGTAGCCCGATCTCGGCTCACTGCAAGCTCCGCCTCCCAGCTGGAGTAGCTGGGACTACAGGCATCGGCCAGCACACCTGGCTAAGTTTTTTGTATTTTTAGTAGAGACTGGGTTTCACCGTGTTAGCCAGGCTGGTCTTGATCTCCTGAACTTGTGATCCACCCGCCTCAGCCTCCCAAAGTGCTGGGATTACAGGCGTGAGTCACTGCGCCCAGCCGTTTTTATTTATTTATTTATTTTTATTTTTTATTATACTTTAAGTTCTAGTATATGCACAACATGCAGGTTTGTTACATATGTATACACGTGTCATGTTGGTGTGCTGCACTCATTAACTCGTCATTTACATTAGGTATATCTCCTAATGCTATCCCTCCCACCTCCCCTTGTTTTTTAAAATTCCTTACTAATTTCAGTGAGATTTATTTTTTATTATTTACTAATTTTAGTGAGATTTATTTTTTATTCTTTATTAATTTTAGTGAGAGTAATTTTAGTGAGATTTCTGGAACAGGAATATATGAAAGCATGTGTTCAATCTAATAAAACCAGAAGTTTCTAGTGTTATACATTTTATTTTGTAGTTATATGTACTTATGTATTTTGTTTTGGTCTAGTTTGTTCGTCCAGAGAACTTTATGAGTTACCTGAAATCAACTACTAATCACCTCACAACTACTTTTAAGGAGGGTATTGACAAAATCATTTTACTTCTTTGTTATTTTTTAGGGATTATCAGGCAAAGTCAAGTTGACTTTCCATAAATTTTATCTTTATCCAGATAACAACATTTTGTTATCTTGGCTGCAGAAGTTTGGACAAATAATCAATTTGAGGTAGACGCACATCAACTTATCAAAAGGAAGGAAGGAAGAATATAAGGAGGAGGGAAGAAAGAAAGGAGAAAGGGAGGGAGGGGGGAAGAAGAAAAAGGAAACAGACATAAAACATTTTAAAAGAGAACAGCAGGAAGACTGGCCCAACTAAATACCTATACTAAGAAAAGCTATGTACGTTCACTAAGTAACAGGAGAAATTTCAGAAAATCATCTGACTTTAAGATAATTCCAAACAATGACCATTGACTTGGAAGGCAGTTAAGGAATTTATGTCATTGAATGTTAATGGTCAAACTACATTTTATCATTCAACAGAATGTACACAAAATGCATATGAAAAGCAGTACAGCCTGCAACAAAACCTATCATATAATAAATTCTCACAATTACATGTCCAGATCAACTTTTAACTATATACTGACCCTTATCGCTCTGAATATATCTACTTTTTGGCTCAAGAATGTATGCATATATGTATGTACCAAGGTATATATGTGTGTATTCCTCCCCTCATCTCCCAAAGAAATTTATGTCTGCTTGCAGGTAATCCTTTTACTTGAATGTATGTTTATTTTCCTGATTATATTTCTTATAAATTTGTCTACCTCAAATTATGTAGTCCTCTATCCTCTGTCATACTCAATTGTGGACCAACAACTTTTTTTAAAAAGTTAACTATGTTGTCAACAACATCACTTCCAATGTAGCCATCATCATATCTTTGAGCTTAACAAGATGCTCAACTTTACAGTCAGACTGACCTTATTTTAAATCCCCCGCCTTCCATTTACTAAATAAACTCCCCAATAGGAAAATTGACATATTCTCTATTTTGCAGGATTTTATGAGAATTAAATCATACAATGCATATAAAGAACCTGGCATATTGTAGCTACCCAATTTAAAAAAAGCTATTCAAATCAGAATATGAGATGATATTGAAACCTTAAGTCCTTTAAAAGTACATCTTTTCCAAGTGACTAGTTTTTCATTTCCATTTTTAGGCATCACATCACTGGTAAGCTGGTCACCTGGAAGCAACGCATCAAATAGCCACTGAAAAGGCGTGTGCAGAGCTCTTATAGAAAATTAAGAAAATCATTATATTGATTATATTAAGAAAATCAATATATTGATATCTACTTTTATATAAGTAGGGGAAAGGGAGGACTGGACAAAAACAATAAAAGAAAGTATTTGTCCCAAAATCAATCAGTTTCTTGACCCCTTTGGAATTCTATTTGTTTAACTACAAAATTAGGAGACTAGATGAAGTCCCTCCAAGTGTTCATGACAAAGAGTTCTGTGGTTAGATGATTTTGAAACATACCTCGATCATCTCATGCCTCCCCCTCCCCCATTCTTAAAGCTCTGAAACACACATGAGTATATTCAAGGCATCGGTCCCATTTTGTTTTACCTTCCATTATACAAACTTACTTGACTACAGACCCTCCCCCTTTTTTCTTTTGTTTCAGGTAATATTTATTGACATACTCTAGAAAAGACTGGATGAGTTGATCTGCAACTTCCCACTCTAACATATGTTTCTCTGAGTTTCTACAACTTCAGCTAAATGTTTTAAGGAAGAAAAGGAAAACAGAATATGTTATAATTTTTATTGATTGATACTTTCTCCAATAGCAGCATACAAATTTTAGAATGGGAGAAAAATCTACTATGATTTCAATGAAATGAGCTAGTTTTTAAGTATAGCTTAATATCTTGTCCCTATGTGGTACCATCAACATTTTAGACAGATGAACATCAAACCATCGACTGAATTGCTGCGTAGTGGATTTGATTTGATTATAAAGACAGTTAAATGACCGGGGTACCTCTGGCAATTTTGGCAATCAATAAGTAACATGAATGAACTATGTAGTGGTCAGACTGGCTACCCAGTGATCAATCAAAACAGAAAATAACTGAGATAAGTTAATCCTTAGGTTGCAGGACTCTACCATATCATCAGCATAAAACTCAAATGGACATTCATGATGAAAAAATTTTAATGCTATAGTTATACAACAAACTGCTAAAAGTATTTTTGTTAGCAAAACACTTTCATTTTTCTATCAATCTAACACTTATTTTTATCTGAAAGGAGGGTACTATGCTAAATGTCACTGGGACTAAAAGGATGTGTAGTAGGAAAAGGGCCAAAGATCCTACCAGAAAATGATCTTGGAGCCATAGGTTAGTTCTGTCAGTAATTTTCCATGTAGCTGTCAATAACGCTTTGGTTTTTCTTTGTAAAAATAACTATCCTCAGCTGGGTGCGGTGGCTCCCACCTATAATCCCAGCACTTTGGGAGGCCGAGACGGGTGGATCATGAAGTCAGGAGTCTGAGGCCAGCCTGACCAACACGGTGAAACCCCATCTCCACTAAAAATACAAAAAAATTAGCTGGGCATGGTGGTGCGCGCCTGTAGTCCCAGCTACTCAGGAGGCTGAGGCAGGAGAATCTCTTGAACCCGGGAGGCGGAGCTTGCAGTGAGCTGAGATCGTGCCACTGCACTACAGCCTGGGCGACAGAGCGAGACTCCGTCTCAAAAAAACAAAAAATAAAAAACACCCAAAAACAACAACAAGAAAAAATTATCCTCAAGGGGCTTATTGTTTAGTTAATTACATTTACAAGTTTGGGATTTTTGCTCCATGCCTTCTTATGTTACAAAATTATCCTTAATTTACCTACATAACAGAGATAAAAGTGAATGAATATGTTGATGTTCTTTAATTAAT